ATTACAAGAAGACATTCAGTATTGTTTTAATGGCAGTTTGTGATGCCGATTATCAGTTTACCCTTGTGGACGTGGGAGACGCAGACAGACAAAGTGACGGGGGTGTTTATAGCAACAGCAAGCTGGGTTTTGCAATTGACAATCAATTACTTGGTTTTCCCTCAAGTGAAAAGCTGCCCTCCTCTGAAATTAAAGTTCCTTCTGTCTTTGTGGCTGATGATGCATTTCTACTAAAGAGCAACATGATGAAACCCTATCCGGGCAAGCAGGGTGATGTTACTAAGAGCATCTTTAATTATCGGTTATCAAGAGCTCGTCGAATTATGGAGAACACATTTGGCATTGCTACATCAAGATTCAAGGTCTTTAGAAGGCCAATAATTGCAAGCGAGTCAACTGCCAATTCTATCGCTAGAGCCGTGGTTGCTTTGCATAATTACCTGATGGTAATCAGGTCACACACCGAAAGCAGTTACAACTATTGCCCACCTGGTTACATTGATGTTGATGCTGGTGCCTCACTTAAACCTGGTAACTGGCGAAGGGATATATACCCAATCGACTGCTGGACTAATTCCAATTGGTCAGACTGGGTCCAACAACTACTCGCAAAGTGCAAGTGCAGTGCGAGAAAGATACAGGGAGTACTTTAATAACCCTGAAGGGGCAGTTCCATGGCAAAATGACATTGCACTAGGCATATTATTGGCATAACAAATCCATTTGACAAAGCAGTTGGATTTTAAACTTTATTTAAATATTATATACAGTGTGTTGTATAAATAATACATCATTCAATTCCAGCAATGCCCATCTCCTCAGACAGTTGCACACTTAGCATTTTGATGTTCCAGGTGTGCATAAACTGGAACTTCTGGAATTGACTAATGCATAATAATTTAATTTATGAATACAAATAATGAAATTGTTCTCATGTTAAATAATTTAAAATAATTAATTGATGAATTAATAAATGTTTCAACTGTTCGACATTGTGTAATCACGGTATTCGAAGTATGTCCTTATGTGTAAAATTCACATAAGGATTTATAATACATTGCATAAATTATATTTTTGTTTATTATACATTTATGTCAAAACATGTAGTTACACTCAAAATTTAATTCTACTCTTCAGAATCTGGAAATTTCAGAGTAAAAAGTAGCTGCTGGATTTGCACCTTTGCCTTCATATTTTCTTTAGTTCCCAAAGATTTTAAAGTTGGGATTAAGCTTTGACAAAACAAGGTATCAGAATCAGATTCTGCAGATTTGGCTTCTGGCATTTCCTGTGTTGTTGGTTTGTCCAAGTCTTTTAGTGCTTTCAGTAGCATTGTATCAACTTGGTCACTAGCTTTCCTAGCTCTGCATGGGGCCGGTTGTACGAAAGGTGGATAAGTTATCCAGTGGATAAGTCCTATCCAATGGATAAATCTCCTATCCAATGGATAGCTATCTGCCGAATAAAAATGCGTTGTACGAAGCACGGATAGCAGGGTGGATAGCTATCCGTCGGATAACCTTAATTTTAACCGGAGAAAACTGGATTTTCCTGAAATTTCTTATCTCTACGTCAGCTGTTGCTAGGTATTTGTAAACTTTTGTTGTAATTGTAGTATCTTCGTATAACTTGTGAATTCCACTAACCTTTGAACTATCAACTTGCAATAAAGGTTTTTTGTTCATGTTTATATTTTGGAGTTTTTCTCGTCCAATCGTTGCAATACTTCGTTTTCCCACAGTGAAGAGTTTGCTATCTACTTATCGATATTTCTTTAAAAGATTTTTGGCTTCTTTATGCGAAGGCAATAGCAAAGACTGCGAGTTTTGTTTTCTTGTTTCAGTACGTTGATTCAGTTTTATTTTATATACTGTCCGAATATTTGTTCTTTGACCTTTCACAGTTTCACGTCATTCAAAACAATTTTAAGAACATTTTCTCGCAAGATTTGATTGGCTGATCAAAGCCAGCGAACAAAATTTTTCGACTTTCGGTGCCTTGTTGTTTATTTAATATATGCAGCTATATTTGTTTGGCGTTGAAGGGAACTAATTTAATGAAAGTTTTATTGCGTGTTTTCGAGCTATATAACAGAAAGAAAAGAAGGAAAAAAACAGAAAACGTAACGTCTAAGCACTGACAAAGGTCTGCATAGAATATGGCAAAGTCATGGCATTATTTAATGGGCAAGTGACTCAAAGTGAGCTCGGTACGTCAAGAGCAAGAGAAGTCATAAGTAAGTTTCCATGTTTACTTAGTGTCAAAAAAGGGACTTCTAAACGGTATTTGTCCATTTCTATCACAATAGCAATCCTTTTTAAATGAAATACATATTGTTTTGTCTTCAAACTTTGAGTTTATCCGCCGAATAGTGGATTTAAACTACCTCCGGACCTCGGATAAATTAAACCAACGGATAGTGCATTTTATCCGTTGGATAGCGCTATCCGAGCTTCGTACAACGCGATTTTCACTCCGGATAAAATTAATCCGCTGGATAGCGACTTATCCACTTTTCGTACAACCGGCCCCTGCTCACCGGTCTTTTTTCATGAGAACATATAACACCGTCCAATGTTTTCTTTTCTTGACAGATGGTGTTTCTTCATCTTTGATTGTAACTACAGGTTGTTCTGGCAACAAAGATGAATCTGCTGTTGATCCTAAACCAAGTTTCACATTGCTAACTGTATCTCGATTTGCAATTTTATCCTGCAGAAATGCTAAGTTTTCAAAATACTTGCATGTCGACGTTTTACATGCAGCTGCGCCAGATCTCATTTCCCTGTTTCGCCCATAGAGATTATAAATAACACTAGAGGAGGCATCGAATTTAAAAATTTGGAACACAGCTAATGGGGCCAAATTGAAGTCCCGGATATAAAATCGTGCTCTCATTGGCTGATTTGAAACTCGTCACCAATGGGAACACGAATACACATCCGGGACTTGAATTTGCCCCCCAATAGTCGCGTTCCCTCCCTTTTTTTACTGAATTAAGATTACAATGCCTCCTCTAGTGTTATTTAAACTAAAACTGAACACATGTGGTTTCTCTACATTTAAAACTGTCATTTTTAATTATTACTCTATGTCATTAAGAACTTGTTACAATGTCAACGACCCTCGTTCGTACAAAACCATTTGTCCAAAGTGTAACTCTGTTCGTAGTCTTAGTATTCATAAAAGATGCATCTAACATTGTGGCAGGACCACTAGTGAACATATTCAATGTATCCCTTCAAAGAGCAATTTTCCCTAATGATTGGAAATTAGCAAAGGTGACCCCCATATTTAAAGAAGGAAATAAGGCAGACTGTGAAAATTATAGGCCAATATCTGTTATTTCAGCTGTAGCTAAACTTTTCGAAAAACTGGTATACCTGCAGCTAAGTTCATTCTTGAGGTTGAATGGCATTCTTGTGGAACAGCAGTCTGGCTTCCGTCATCAACATTCTACTGAAACTGCACTGCTTAGTTCTACAAATGAATGGTTGTTCAATATGGACAGAGGTTTACTTAGCGGAGTTTTATTTCTAGACCTTAAAAAAGCTTTTGATACTGTCGACCATCATATTCTTTTATCAAAGCTTGAATTATATGGTATCAAAGGAACTAGCCTGAAATGGTTCGAATCATACGTTTCTGGTCGAAGCCAAATATGCTCTGTGAATGGCAAGATGTCAGCTGTTAGACAAATAAAATGCGGGATACCTCAGGGCTCTAACCTTGGGCCTATTTTATTCCTATTGTACATAAATGATCTTCCTAACTGTTTAGAGACAACTAAAGCAAATCTTTTTGCTGATGACACAAGCCTTTCTTGTGAAGGGTTTAGTCCATATGAAATTGAGATCAAACTTAATAAAGACATTGAAAATGTTCATAGGTGGTTGACAGCTAACAAGCTCTCATTAAATATGAAAAAGAGTGAATTTATGATAATAGGATCAAGACGTCGCTTAGCTTCAATTGAAAATAGCCCAGTACTAACATTAGGGGGAAACAACATTAAGCGAGTTTACCAAAAAAAGTCACTAGGCATGATCCTTGACGACCAGTTAAAATGGAATAAACATAATGAAATGCAATGTAAAACAATTTCAAATAATATCGCCCTGCTGAAAAGAGCAAAATTGTTTGTCAATAGAGATAGTCTGATAAAAATCTACAATGCCTTAGTGTGGCCTCATTTCAATTATTGTTCAACAATCTGGAATGATGGATGTTGTTCGATAATTGATAAATTGTTTATACTGCAGAAGAGAGCAGCGCGTGTGATAACAGGGGACACATACGAGGTTCGTTCCATGCAAACGCTAGATAGTCTTAATTGGCTTCCAATAGAAGAACTTCTAAAACAATGACAGTTAATAATGACATTTAAAGTACTAACTGGTCGATTACCTCGATACCTTGAAAAATTGTTTTCAGTAAGTCAAAATGACAATTACAATCTAAGAAGCAATCAAATTAAATTGAACCTACCCAAACCTAAGACAAATTTTCTCAAACGAAGTTTCTCGTATAGAGCTGCTAAGTCCTGGAACGAACTTCCAAGTGAAACTATTGAAAATTATAACAATCTTTCAACTTTGTCGTTTAAACGGCAATTACTTAATTCATCCGTATCAATTCATTGTAAATAATTTCATACTTATATCTTGTTTCACACTTATATCGAGTTTCACACTTATATCTTGCATACAATTCAAACTGTTCCTATTTTATTGTTTTTCCAACGGTCATTTTGCCGGCTAATTAATATTCTGTTGGATACATTATACATTGTGTTGTTTTGGGATTTCCCGTATTACGTCACTTTGCAACTAAAATGCCACGACCTTTTTGACCCTAGATGTGATATATAACTTACCGAAACATTAATCTGCAGGTCTTCCAAAACTGACTTAATATGATTTAATCTTTGATCATGATGAAAATTGTTTTATTATCCCACACTGTTCTACTAACTTTTGTACTCATATTATTACACCATCATCATGCAACCAAGTATTTTATTCACACTGAAAAGCTACGCCATCTCAACACCACTGCCTCCGCAACCATCGGCATTGGACGTGACCGTTTTTATAAACTGAAAGGTTACTTTCAATCAAAGATAAGTCGTTACCCCAATTCATCGTCAACTTTTCAACTTAGTCGCATATGTGTCAGCGGAGACATTAACCCGAATCCAGGACCAACCAACTTCAGAGTACAAACTCGCAATGAAAAGAAAAACAACGTGAAAATTGCTCACTTAAACGTCCGTTCACTCAAGAATAGGGAACACTTTATACTGCTTAAAGAGACCGTTTTGAAGAATAAATTTGACGTTTTTACTATATCCGAAACTTGGCTAAACAACTCTGTGACCAACTTGGAGCTTGAGATCCCTGGATACGAAATATTTCGTGTTGATAGAAACAACAAAGACGGCGGTGGAGTTTGTGTTTATGTTTTGAACACTTATAAAACCGAGTTGCTCCGAGATATTTCAAGTATCTCAGGCAGTGGATTGCATCAACTTTGGATAAAGGTTCAAGTCAGAAATTTAAAGTCTATCGTAATTTGCACTATATATAAACCCCCTGATGTTCATGCAAACTGTTTTGATACTGACCTGACTCCGAGTTTCATTACAGCCTCCCTATTGGGTAAACCTATCTACATTCTTGGTGACGCAAATTGTAACATGCTTAAACCGGACAGCCCGAATTCGTCTGTATTTATTAACTTCTGCAGTTGTTTTAACCTGACTCAGATGATTAAATCTCCAACCCGCGTAACTCGAAACTCAGAGTCGTTAATAGATGTTATTCTAGCAACAAACCCCAACCAAGTTCTTGAAACTAAGGTGGTACATTGCTCCATAAGCGACCATGATCTAGTTTACGCAGTCCTAAGATTGAAGAAAGAGCGCCCTAAGCCAGTATATATCACAACAAGGAGCTTCAAAAGCTACAACGCGAGTGAATTTTGCGCTGATATATTACAAGCA